AAAGAAGCTATTGAGAGGTATTTTTCATCAAAATCTCTATTTTTATCAATGAAGAATGATATAAAAAAGGCAACTAAAGTTGTTCTGATGTGCTCTTATTTTATGTTTTGGATTAACTGGGCCAATACTAGCAAACATTTTGTTTCGTTATTTCCTCGTCTATTCTTTTTTTCATGCCCACACTAGCAAACATCTATTTCAACTGGGCCAACATTAGCAAACTTCCCCAAATTCCAAGCCTTGCTGCTCGGAGCTGTACTATGCGCCGACTAACGGACAGGAAGATTGGCGCAACGAGCCACACGGTGGTGCCCGCCTGCCATCGTGTCGACACCAACCAGCCGTCTTCCTCCATGGACGCACCCAGGACCTGCATTGGACGCGCGATTTTGGGGCGGCTACAATTGGCGCAGCGCTTCACTTCGTTGCTGCGAATCTCGAGCAGCGACTGTGGCGGGAGCTCGCCGCCGCATGCGACGCGTGGTGAGCCTGGCGGCTGCTCAGAGCTTGGTGTGTTAGCTCGCACGGTGTCACTGATCCTCCAATGCCAAGCATGACATCGTTGGGGCCACGGTATGTTTGACCTCTCCTCATCTGGTTGTTTAAGTAGCTCAGAATTAATAAATATTGATCGAAAAAAAGAATTTATTAGTAAATGATTTGATCGTCTTTTGGATAAGGGGCACTTTCTATATGATCACGGAAATCCTTCGGTCGTTGGGATAGCTATATGAATATTTAGGGTTTCATTTAGATCTATACTACTAGATCATAAGGACGGACCTAAGTCACTGCTCCAAGCGACCAAACAGGTGTCCCCTGTATTTCGCGGATCACTAGGCTGTAATTTTTTTTATTAAGCTTTGTTTATTCCTAAAAAAATAGATGATCATTTTGATATCATAAGTTATGTGGAAGGAAGATGTATAAGTATGTATAATGCCTAATAATCAGAACAAATTCTTAACCTAGGTACTATGATGAGGCTGAACGAAGTTCAACTAGAGACGCATAGAATCCATCTTTGATATTCATCAGTGCCTCATGTCTTCCTTTCTCCACTGTCACACCATCCTTGAGAACTGCGATAATATCAGCACTTTTGATCGTCGAGAGGCGGTGTGCCACAATAACTGTTGTCCTGCCAACCATCACATTATCCAAGGCATCCTGCACTATGCGCTCAGACTCAGCATCCAAGGCACTCGTTGCCTCGTCAAGAAGTAGCGTCCTGTTCGTTTGGGCTAGTTTGGCTTATAAGCCATGGCTAAAAGTACTGTTGACTGGTTTGGTGTGAGAGAAAAATACTGTTCGTTGGCTGGCTTATAAGCCAGATACGAGCAAGCGAACAGGCTGTAGAATCCTAGGATCTTTTAGTATGGCCCTTGCTATGGCTACCTGCTGCTTCTGGCCACCAGATAGCTGAACCCCCCTCTCTCCAACAGTGGTGTTATACCCCTGGGGAAGGCTTGATACAAACTCATGTGCATTGGCTGCCTTTGCGACCTTGATGAGTTCCTCCTCAGTGACCTCCCCATGTTTCCCATAAACTATGTTGGCACGGATTGTGTCATTGAAGAGAATAGGCTCTTGGCCCACCAGACCCATTTGGTCCCTTAATCAAGTGACTTTTAGGCTTTTGATCTCTACTCCATCCAATGAGATAGTACCAGAGTCGGGTTGTAGAATCGCTCCAAACAAAGAGATTACCGTTGACTTGCCACTGCCACTCTCTCCCACAAGTGCAACAGTCTGTATAAAGCAATAAGTCGGATTAAGTTGTGGATTATATTACTATAGAAGATAGGACATTGCAGAGGGATAGTAGGCTAACCTTGCCAGAGGGAATGTGCAAGGTAAAATCGCTAAATATTTGAATATCTGGGCGGCTTGGATACTTGAAGCTGACATGTCGGAAATCGATGTCGCCCTTGACCTCATGTAGTGTCGAACCTTCATCATTGCTTGAGTCGATTTTGGACTTTCTGTCCAATAATGCGAATATGGAGACGGCTGAATCCTTGGCCTTTGTAGAATCAGAAGCCAATGCACTTGTTTGAGATACTCCATCAGTGCAAAAAATACCTGCCAGACATTACTTAATGCATCAAACTCAAATATCCAATAGGAAGAAGTGGAATGCTGAAGGGAAGCAATGCATTTTCCTAACCTTGAAAACATCTCCAAAAAGTAGATTTGTTATGACGAACAAATTGTGCTCCAACGTAGAAACAAAGTCCATATGTAAGGTACAACATCAAGAATGAGAAACCAAAACCAAGGCCTCCAACCATTCCTGTTCTGACTCCTTGTTTCTTTGAGGATTCACATTTATCTTCATAAATTGTCGTCACTCTTTTTTCAGCACAAAAAGAAGCTACAGTCCTGATACTGCTGACTGCATCGGTGGCCACTTGACTTGCGTCTTCATACAGTATCTGCAGAATAGTGATCCATTGTCGCTTAGCAAATTTGGGAGAAAACAAATATCTATAGTGAATCCTGCTTTAAATCATTTTTTTGTAATTCGTATAAGTCAATAATATGTCATAAATTTTATAAGATAGTAGGAGCTTGTTTGCTTGAAAATATATGCATAAATTTTAGTTTCAGTAGTTGATAGATTACCTTGGCATCTTGACTGAAACCCTTCAAGAACTTCACTTGTGCATAACCTTGAACACCCGATAGTGGCATCACACAAAGGATGATCAATGTGAGCTTCCAATCTGCCACAAAAGCAATGACAAATCCTGCAATTAGTGTCGAGGTGACCTGAACTGCCAAGGCCAAGTGCTCCACTAAACGTCGGACATTCAAAGCATCAACTGACAACCTTGCGCCAAGTGCTCCACTGTAAGATATAAGCATACCGTTAGTACCTCAAATATGGAATCCTGTAAGTAGAAATAAAGAGAACAAAACATTGATCAAAGGGATGGTAACCAAACTGGAATTTTTGGATCATCAAACCAAGCAACTTCTTGGTGCACAATGCTCCGAAACGACAAGGCACGGATACGCTCGATAAGCTTCCCCCCGGCTACCCCAAATAAGAAATACTCCACTGGTATTGATAGTATTGATACAATACCCAGCACAACACACATCAAACCCCAAAAGCTTGCATCCTTTTTTAGTTGGTGTGGCGGCTCGTAGAATGTTTTGATGCCATTGGAGATAATTAGACCAAACATTGGGAAAAGCGTTCCATGGACTCCAGCAGCTAGCGATCCTAACAAAAGAATAGGTACCTCTGGCTTGTTAAGACTAGCTAGCCGTCCCATTGGAGCTTTCTTTGGGGCCTCACCATTATGAGCCTTCTCTTTCTCATCCTCCAAATTTGCATCATTACCTTCGAGCAATTCAACTGAACCAGGCATGCCAAAGGGGAGGGTCAAAGAATGCCGACTACTGTTTCCCGTCGAACCTCTGCTTATTGATCGCTTCAGTGAGAGGCTTCTACTTTTAGACCTTGAATCAGACATGTGATGATCTAATTTCTGTTCTTCTTCTTTGCTTTCTTGGAGACGGATAAGTTGAGAATAAGCACCATCAGGGTTCATTATCAGTTCATCGTGGGGACCTATGAATATTCATTGATGCAAGAAATTGATATGGTTAGTTAAAATATCTTGAGCTTCTAATGAATTAAAATGCAATATGTAAAATGGGAAAGACATCCTGACCTTGTTCAACTATTTTCCCTTGTTGAACAACTGATATGCAATCAGCATTTCTCACAGTACTTAGGCGATGTGCAACCACAAGTGTTGTCCTATCCAGCATGATCCTATTCAGTGCTTCCTGAACAATCCGCTCCGACTCCACATCCAATGCACTAGTAGCCCCGTCTAACAAAAGAATTCTGGGGTTTTTGATGATTGCTCTTGCAATAGCGATCCTTTGCTTTTGTCCCCCTGATAGCTGAGCACCACGTTGGCCAACCATCGTGTCATAACCCTAGTATCAGATAAAAAGAGAAATATTAGCACTCAGCTCAGCAAGATGTAGGATGTACATAAGTTGATAACTGGATCTATGACATACATTGGGTAACTTATCGATGAAATTTGCTGCATTAGCAAGCTGAGCTGCTCTTTTGATCTCTTCAATTGTTGCATCCTCTTTTCCATATGTTATATTATCTTTGATAGATGTCATAAAGAGCAATGGCTCTTGGTTAACAAGACCAATCTTCCCTCTTATCCAATCAAGCTGCAAACTCTTGATGTTAATCCCATCAATCAAAACCTCACCAGCCTGTGGATCATATATAGAATCTCTCTACAAGACTTATCACAGTTCACTTGCCACTTCCACTCTCCCCAACTATAGCCATTGTAGTGCCACTAGAGACATGTAGTGAGAACCCATCAAATATCAGCTGCTCTGGTCTCGCTGGGTAGCTGAAGTACACATCATTTAGGTCAACATCACCCTTGATGTCTTCTAGTTGCTTACCAGTTGGTTCATCTGGGTCAATCTCTGGCTTCCTCTTGATTGTTGTGAACAATCTGTATGCCGCAGATTGTCCTTCTGCAAAGGCTGCCATGCAGGGTGTTGCATTACCTAAAGACCTGCACACCAAAAATTGAAGTTAACACCACCAGTCATGCAACATGGATCAGCATAAGACTTTATTTCTCTAGATTCAAAGAAACCCACACTGCCCCAGTCATTATAGCAAACAAGATATTGATGACGTCTCCTCCTGAGTAACCTTTGCTAAGAATCAACTTTCCGCCATACCATATGGCTAAACCATAGCTTGAGAAAAATATGCAGAAAACAGAACCCATGCCAAAACCATTGGTAATTCCTTCTTCAACAGCAGCCTTGTATGACTTGTGTATGAGTTTATTGTACAATGCAATAGCCTGCTTCTCTCCGTTGAAGGAGACAACCTGTTTTACAGATGTAGGCACAAGAAAACCAGTGAGAGCATGCCAATTTGAAAAATGTAGAGATTCATCTGACACGAGCGCTTTGGAACTCACTGTTTTTATAGCCCCAAGTGTCTGTTCAACAATATTGCCTGCATCACTGTATGATGCTTTCCCCTTGGTAGATATTTTAGCAAGCATTTTTGAGACAACTCCACCAGCAATGACAACTGGAGGTCTGCATGCCAACATGACAAGAGATAGAAGCCATCCTTTTACGAATGCTATCACGAAACGGCCAATGAAGGTTGCCACAAGCTGTTGAAACTTGCCGACCTGAAGAGTTTGTAAAAATCAAATTGTGCACATTTTGATATAAGTTGGTAATGATCAATAGCAGGTTTGCTTCTGCACTCGTCACTTTCAAAGAGAGGAGTTGTTACCTTCTCACCAATGGCATCCTGAACTAACACGGTATCACCAGACATCCTCGAAACTATCTGTCCAGTTGTCATTTCTACATCAAATAATGCTATTTCTTGTCTCAAGACAGATTTGAGGTACAGAGATCGAATGCGTGTTGCCTGCCTTTCTCCTGTCATTGTCCAGCATGACACCTCTGCACAAACAATAAGTGGCTTCACTTATTTACACTGATATAGTTATTACGTGGCTTATGCATGTAGAACCTTGTTTCAAGTTTTCTAGGTCAGTTTGTTAACGAAGCAATGTCTTTATGGTACGTTTCTTCATGTATTACTTTCCATGGAAGTTCAAACATGTTGGGACTGTCCTAACCACTATCATGAACACAAGCTTTTTGTACCCTTCATTGAAAGTACATAACAGAAGTCAAAGTTGAACTCTGCTCTATGACAACTTGCAAGTTTGAAAAGTTGAAACCCTAATATTGTCGCTAGCTGGTATATGAGGCGAGCTTATTTTTCTTAAGCTTATCTTAACTCACCTTTGACCGCAAGATTATTTTTATACTAACTATGGTCAATCATTAGCAGCAGCAATTTCAGGTTGTGGTGCAAACTGCAAGCGGATGTGAAGATTGAAAAGTTGACAGTCTACTTAAGAGTACTTACGAAGAAAGGAAACAACAGCTGTTGCAATGCCTAGGTAGACAAAGTTCAGAACTGCCTGTGAAAAAAGCAAGGTAGCTCGGAGTCCAAGCGTGAGGCAATCAGGATGCTCTTCCCGGCCGGCTCCGCGATTGAGGGCATCCAGCTGGTGGAGGGGGTGGAACTTGAGGTTTAGCCTACCTCTGGGTGCCCGCCCTAGATCGTTCGATCGTTGTCCATGGCTTAGTTTACTAGCTCGCTGTCGCTCAGCCCGTTGTTGCTTTTAGTCCTCTCGTGGTAGTAGCCGGGCTTCGTCGTAGTCTTCTTTAGTTTTTTTCGCTTGTGTCTTCTCCTCGCCTAGGAAACCTTTGGTTACCTAGTGTTGAGCCGTTTGTTATTTGGTTTGGTGTTGTCTACTTCCTCTTAATGAAATACATGCTACACGGCATGTTTGAGAAAAAAAAGCAAGGTAGAAACAAAGTGAGAATTGAGAAATGTAATAATGTCTCGCTAACAAGGAAATGAGTTCTAGTTGAAGTAAACTTGAAGCTACATGTAATTGTTGGCCCACGGGATCACCGTCTAACGATAGTGAACTAGTTTCCAGACCACTAGTCTCCCAGACCACTAGTCTCCCAGACCACTAGTCTTCCAGACCAGACCACTAGTCTCCTAGACCAGACCACTAGTCTTCCCAGACCACTAGTCTCCCAGACCACTAGTCTCCAGACCAGACCACTACACCGGTTCTGTCCGTACCCACACACTACGGATCGAGCTAGAAGAAGAAGGGAGAACAGAGCAAGCACGCACAATACAAGACAACAACGTTGGCCGAAGCCCTGTCTGTGTGATGGCAAATCTGAGCTCTCTTTCTTCGAGTTGCCTTGGTGCCCTATTTATACAACTCTATCTATCTAACTAAAGTACAGTAGCACATGCTGTAACAAAGAATTCTAGATAAGTATCTGAGGGTTGACTCTGCTTGGCCATTGTGATGTGCCTCTGATCTTGCAGGTGAGCCATGTGGCGCCAGACTGCAGCTGCCTCTTGTATAAAGATGGGGGTAAAGTCGGTGCCGCTTCCTCTGCTGTGTGTTTCACACAAGGTGGCGAGATTAGCTAACAATCTTCCCTAATCCTACTGCTAACCCTTGCACCCCCTCCATGCCGATCATCTCCTTCAGCTCCGTGAGTCGAAGTCGTCCGAGCGGCTTGGTGAGGACGTCCGCGAGTTGCCGACCAGTTTCGACAAACTCGATGACGATCTGCCCTCCATCAACACAGTCCCTGAGGAAGTGGAACTTCACGTCGATGTGTTTACTCCGGTCGTGCAGAACCGGATTCTTCGCGAGGGCCATGGCAGGCTGGTTGTCCACCATCAGTGCTGGTGGGTGAGCTTCACGCCGGTTAGCTTGCCCGGCAGCGGGCGTAGCCACACAACTTGGCACGCCATTTGTGGCCGCCGCTCGCTCTCGCCTCGCACGTAGATAGTGCCACCACCTACACATTTGGCAGCGACGACCATGAAATTGGGGCTGACCCGAGGAAGACGCGGTACGCCGGAGGTGCTCCGTCGTCCGTCGATGTCCCCGCCATGTCTCGCATCGGCTGAACACCGTGAGCTGCAGCCTACTTCCCCTGGTCTTTGGGAAGATGATTCCATGATTCACCGTCCCCTTGACGTAGCGTAGTAGCCGCTTCACCGCAGCCCAGTGATCCTCTCTAGGATCCTCCATGAAGCGACTGACGTAGCCCACGGCGAACGCAATGTCCGGCCTTGTGTGGACTAGGTAGCGTAGATCGCCGACGATGCTGTGGTAGAGTGTTGCATCTACTTTCGCCGCGGTGCTGTCCTTCGTCAGCTTCAGCCGCTCCTCCATCGGAGTCACGCATGTCTTGCACTCCACCATGCCGCTCCTCTCCAACAGCTTGGAGGCATACGCGCTTTGTCCGAGCATGAGTTCCTCCTTCCCCTGTCTCACCTCGATGCCGAGGTAGTAGGAGAGAGCGTCGAGATTGCTCATTTGGAAACGAGCTGCCATCTCTCGCTTGAAGCTGTTGATATCCTCCGTGCGCGCGCCGGTGACGATTAAGTCATCCACATACACGCCGACCACGAGTTCTTCCTTCCCCCGTCGTCGTGTGTAGAGCGCGTGCTCGGTTGCGCACCTCTGAAACCCAAGCTCGCCCAGCGTGGTGTCAAGCTTGGCGTTCCATGCTCGAGGGGCTTGCCTCAGCCCGTAGAGCGCTTTGCGTAGTCGGAGCACCCTGTGCTCCTCTCCCTTGATAGCGAACCCTGGAGGTTGCCTGACGAAGACCGTTTCCGCCAGCTCGCCGTTGAGGAAGGTCGATTTAACGTCCAAGTGATGGATGCGCCAGTCATTTGTTGCCGCCAAAGCAAGTAGCAAACGGACCGACTCCATGCGCGCTACTGGTGCAAAGACCTCCTCGAAGTCGATGCCCTCGCGCTGGACAAAGCCTCGGGCGACGAGGCGTGCCTTGTACTTGACAATGGCGCCGAGCTCGTCCCTTTTGACTTTGTACACCCACTTCAGGCTGATCGGACGGCATCCTGGGGGTGGATTGACGAGCTGCCAAGTCTCGTTTTCCTCGATCGCCTTCATCTCCTCCAGCATTGCCCGTCGCCAGTTTCCATCGCGCTCGGCTAGCGTGAATGTGGGTGGTTCCTCTGCACTGACAAGTAGCAGCTCTGCGTCATTGAGCAGCCTACCCGCCATACCTGAGGGACCTGTGCCACCGACGATGTCGTCCAGCCTGTGGAACCTCAACTCCTCACCTTCGTGGTAGGCGTCCACGAACTCAGTGATGTCACTTGGAGGTGAGGCGAACTCGATCGGGGTGATGAAATTCCTTCTTCCGCCGGAGTGCCCGTGATAGCACTGAAGTGCTCAAGATCGCTTCGATCGCTTTCGTCATAACTCCTGCGGTGTTCGGCCACACCGCCAGGAGTGCCCACTCTCGATCTTGGAGTGGTCGGAACCACAGAAGACGCCTTGGCTCCGCCACGGGAGTGCTCGGTACCCGTCCCAAGTGGTCGCCGCCATTTGAGAACCTCTGGCTCCCTCTCTGGCGTGCTCGGCATTCCTCCGAAGTGCTCGACACTCCTCTCTGAGTGCTCGGCATCCCTCCTGAAGTGCTCGGCACTGCCCCAGAAGTGCTCGACTCTACCGCCGGAGTGCTTGGCGCTCCTCCCGGAGTGCGTGGCACCTGTTCCGCAGCGTCTCCACCACCGTGGATGACCAAGTGCTCGATGACGAAGGTGTTGGTGAAGCCTCCCGCTTCCCCCGTGCTCGGACTATGCCAGTCCCAAGCTGCCTCCTCGTTGAACACAACGCGTCGCGAGACACCACCTTGTCTCCACGTGGGTCATAGAGCCAGACGCCTTGGTACCTCTCGCGTAGCCTAGGAACACCATGGGTGTGCTCCTGTCCTCCAGCTTGGTGAGGTTCGGCTTCGTCTTCCTGACGTGGCCGATGCAACCGAATGTCCGGAGGAATGACACGTTCGGCTTGCTCCCGTACCAAGCTTCGAACGGCGTCTTGCCCATTAGGGCTTTGGTTGGAGCGCGGTTGAGGATGAACACCGCCGTGGTCACCGCCTCTCCCCAGAACTTTGCCGGCATCCCTTTGGCCTTCATCATGGATCGGGCCATGCCGACCACTGTCTGGTTCCGTCGCTCCACCACGCCATTCTGTTGTGGTGAGTACGGCGCGGTGTGATGTTGCCCCACACCTTGATCCGCGCAGTACGTAGCAAACTCCACCGAAGTGAATTCGCCACCCCGATCAGTCCTTAGTACACGGAGCTTCTTGCCGCTCTCAGCCTCTGCGCGCATCTTGAACTTCTTGATCGCCACTGCCGCTTCGTCCTTGCTCGTCAGGAGTTGCAGCCACATGTAGCGACTGCAATCGTCCACGAGTAGGAGGAAGTACCGCCGACCACCGCATGTAGCAGGCATGATCGGCCCGCAGAGGTCGCCGTGAACTAGCTCGAGAGCTTCCTTCGCGCGATACTTGGCCGCCTTTGGGAAAGGTAGCCTCCTCTGCTTCTCGGCTAGGCAGCTGTCACACAGCTCGCCTCCGTGTTTGATGTGGGGTAGCCCTCGGACCATCTTCCCCAGCCGACCAAGCGCGTCGAAGCTGAGATGTCCGAACCGGGCATGCCACATCCATGGTTCCTCGAGTGCCTTGCCGCCAGTAAACCGGCTGCTCTACCTTCGGTCGGCGGTACAACCGGTTCAGGACCTCTTCACCTTGGCGAAGTCGCCGCTCCGGTCTCTCGATCCTCGAGCGCCGCCCTTGATCGAGAACCTCGCTATCGCGCGCTCATCTAGTCGACCAATGCGATGATGCTAGAACGCATTGCGGGATGTAGTATACATCCGTTAGCGCGTGGTGCTCCCCATTCTGGCATCTGAAGATGATGGTGCCGCGCCCTTGGATAGCCACCCTTGAGCCATCACCAAACTTCATCGTACCGGTAACATCGCCGTCGAGCTCGGAGAAGGAGTCCTTGGAGCCCGTCATGTGGTTACTGGCACCAGAGTCCAGATACCACCGCTGCTCCTGGTCGACGCCCACATGCCCAAGATGGATTTGGACGCGTGGTTCGTCGAGGTTGACGGTCTTCAGGGCCTTGCTAGATCCTTCCATCGTCATCGCCTCTTCCCTCTCCATGGCCTCGACGTCGTGCAGTGCACAGCGCCGCCATAAGGATAGTAGGTTCATCATCATCATCGGCTTTCGCCAGGTGAGCCTGAGCCTTCTTTTCCTTCTTACGATTTAGGCACTCCCGTGCCCAATGGCCCATCTTCCCGCAACTCTGACAGGCATTGGAGTCGATTTGCTTCTTCTCCGAAGAAGCCCTGCCGCGATGTTTGCCGTTGCCACCGCGACTGGAGGAGGCTGCCTTCCCAGAGTTTCGCCGAGCAGCCCACTCCTCTTCCGTCAGCAAGAGTTTCCCTGATGTCCTTCGTTGCTGTCGCCTGCTCCAGGCGCTCGTCCACCGCCCGTAGACGGCCTGCCACATCCTCGATGGTGAGGGTGGACAAGTCCAGCATCGTCTCTATGGATAGAGCGATATGGATGTACTTTGCCGGCACGGAGTGGAGGAACTTGAAGACCGCCTCCTCTTCGTCGATGGTGACGCCGTGGCTCTTCAGCTTGCTGATGAGCGTCTACAGGCGGAGGGAAAAGTCCTCCACCGTTTCACCATCCTTGAACTTGAGGTTTGCGTACTCCTGCTTCAGAAGCTGGGCCGTTGCCTTCTTTGCGCGGTCGGAACCGACGCGCATCGCCGCAATGGCCTCCCACGCCTCCTTAGCTGAGCTCTTTGTCCCCAACGGTTCCCTATACTCCGCCGGTACAGCAGCGAGGATAGCCTCTAACGCTGACATGTCATCTTCTTCCACGTCGGTGCCCTTGTCAACAGCATTCCAGAGCCGTCGGGCTCTGAGCTTGACCTTCATGGTCACCGACCACTCTCCATAGTTAGTGCGAGTCAGCGTCGGCCAAGTGGTGCCGCTGACCTCCCGCACCGTGCGGACAACTACCTCCGGTAGTGGCTGGGCAGCCACGACAGTGCCACTGCCGTCGCCCAACTCCAAACCGCCTATCATCGCCATCGGTTAGAATGACGATGGCGCTTGTACGGCTCCGATACCACTTGTTGGCCCATGGGATCACCGTCTGACGATAGAGAACTAGTCTCCAGACCACTAGTCTCAGACCACTAGTCTCCCAGACCACTAGTCTTCCAGACCAGACCACTAGTCTTCACAGACCACTAGTCTCTCAGACCACTAGTCTCCAGACCAGACCACTACACCGGTTCTGTCCGTACCCACACACTACGGATCGAGCTAGAAGAAGAAGGGAGAACAGAGCAAGCACGCACAATACAAGACAACAACGTTGGCCGAAGCCCTGTCTGTGTGATGGCAAATCTGAGCTCTCTTTACTGAGTTGCCTTGGTGCCCTATTTATACAACTCTATCTATCTAACTAAAGTACAGCGCACATGCTGTAACAGTAACTAGATAAGTATACAGGGCTGACTCTGCGCCGGCCACTGCATGTGCCTACAGTGCTGCAGGTGAGCCATGCGGCGCCTGCACCTGCAGCGGCTACTGTATTACAGCAGGGGTAAAGTCGACGCCGCCTTCTTCTGCTGTGTTTCACACAAGGTGACAGTAGATTAGCTAACAGTAATTCATGGAGAACAGTGATGAAAGTTTGGCCACATTTTTATGATTTTGTTCAGGATTCGGATAGAAATCTGTCAGCAAAAATACACTACTGCAATGACAAACTTGACAGCTTATTCTTGGACTGAGTTTCGGATCTTTGATCAAGAAAAGATTCCAGCCTTTACCAGATGTGGTTAGTTATCCATTATATTAAAATTGTTCCACATGGTCTCTTATTATTATATTACAAGTTGCAATACTGTAATGTACTGGTATAACCTATTACAAGTTACTGGTTTGTGGTTTGAGCATTTAGCTAATCTATTCCTGTTTCTAATTCAGAAAGGTAGCTTTCAGAAAAGCACATTGTAAGCGACTACGCAGTTTATGTTCATATAAAAGTCAGCTCCCATGTGAGAAAAGGAAAAAAAAATCCTACTTGCATGGAAAAAAAAACTAAATGCGAAAAAAAATTCTGGTCAGTTGGTCGTTAAAAGTTGAGCTGTGTTGTTGAGGCATTCATTGTCCAGCAGCGAAACAGTATTTCCGGGCTTGTATTTTTTTACAGTAAACTTGTGACCCTGAAGGCCCTGTTTAAATTCCCTCGATAGAAAAAGGATCAAATTGCCATACAAACTTGGCCAATGCTCGCCCTTTGATGTTTGCTCTTAAAAATATTGAAACAATCTTTATCTAAAAAAATATTGAAACAATACAATTATTGCTACCGGCTACCGCATGACTGAACTAATGAAAACAAAAGCGCTCCAAGAAGGCACAAGAAACAGTGCAATATTTGAACTTTGAAACTGGGAAAAAAAAGGCGCTAGTTGGAATGGACGTTGCTGGCTAAGTTTCTATCTATGGATAACGTATCAAGGAAGTATTTTCATTTCTAAGGGACAATTCCATTGCAATAGGAGTGTTTTTTTTTAAAAAAAATCTCAAGATTGATTGAATGAAGAACATAAACAAAAAGGATTAAAAACAGAAACAAGACGAACAGAGAACACAACGGGAGGACTAATGGCGCCAAAAGTCAAGATACGCCCTCCATCTTTATCCCTCCCTGGGCAACGAAAGCGCAAACGGCGCCGAGATTTTAACAGAGCTTTCTATCTCGATCAGACCAGACTGCCATGCGACCGAATTTGTCCTCGATCCAACGACGGCCGTCTCCGGCCGCCGGCATACGTACATGTTATGGAGAAGCTAGCTAGCGTCGTCGAAGTGCGGTCATCTCCGGCTCACCTGGTTGACGCGGTGGAGGACGTTGTCGGTGGTGGCGTCGCCGAAGGCGTTGATGACCTGGCCGAAGATGACCGTCATGACGGGCTGCGAGACGCCGTTGGCCAGCGCCCCCACCGTGCCGAGGAGCATGAGCAGCACGTCCGTGCCGTCGGCGTACCGGAACAGCCCCGTGAACGGCACCTTCTTCCCGGCGTCGCCGTCGCCGCCGTTCCCGCTCCCGTTCCCGTTCCCCTCTCCCTTCTTCTCCACGCCATCCCTCCCTTTCACACCTCCCGCTGCGTCCATTGCTCGCGACTTTGTGTGTGTGTACTGCGTACACGCCTGCCTGCCTCTGTGGGAGGGGGCGCCTGATTCTCGCGGCTCCGCCTGGCAACGGTATTTCTGGGGTTCGTTGGTCGCACAAGGTGGCAGTGGGGAAAGGAGCCATTGCACACTGCCCAACTTCTATTGCGAAACGTTTTACGCAAGTATGGGCCAGTTTGATGCCAAATTTTTTGACAAAACGCTATCATGGCGTTTTCGTTGTTATTTAACAATTAGTGTCCAATCATAATCTAATTAGGCTTAAAAGATTCGTCTCGTGGATTTCGTCTAAACTGTGTAATTAGTTTTATTTTTTATTTATATTTAATGCTTCATGCATGCGTCCAAAGATTCGATGTGACGAGAAATCTTGAAAAATTTGGCATTTTGGAGTGCAACTAAACAGGGCCTATAATGAAAATGACACAATGAATTATTCCTTCGTAAGCAAATCCTTTTTTAAAAGTGAAAAAGAATTGAATGTGCCACCTATGTATGTACGCGGGTATATAAAAATGTGTGCATTAGTTTTCACTCTTCTTTAGTTCGTTATTTGATACGGTGATTATAAGTTTTCACTCTTTTCCATAACCGAGCTTCGTTTTTGTCAGCAAATAAGCTGATGACATTGTAATACTTGGTTGGGTGCGGTTGTAGAGGCCGGAATTTTTCTATTTCTAAAAAACTAACCGAGCTTCGTAGTGCAAAGATCTCGACAAAATTTCCTTCCTATTTGCTCAGCTATGCATTATCACAAGCTTAAAACTTTGGGCCTCCAAGCATTTTTTTTTTGGCAATGGAGTTTTGTTGACCAAAAAGTGTCAAAGTATATACTCCCTCTGTCGGGGTTATAACCCCAGGTGTCTCAAGGCATCGATTAGTTAGCAGGCCGAGCGGCCCACAATACATCAACCAGCAAGAGCACGAACGACCGAGGCCCAGCTGATTCAAGAAAACCAGGCCTAGTGCTAAGGCGGGGGCCGGCCACGACCCCTTCATCAGACTCAGCCGCACAGCGTACGAGAGACGCACGACCTCTCCACCGTCCTGACCCTTGGGGGGAACGGGGAGAGGTCGAGCACAGTCAGGCACGCCCGTTCGGACAAGGGTAGGCATGCCGCTTTGACCCCGCAAGGACTGAGGCGACAACAGTCACCTCGGTCCGGTCAGACGACATCCATGTGCCACGCCGCACAGATAAGACAATACTGCCCAAAGCGGTGACGACACGTATGATGACCACCGGCCAGATTCGGCCCGACGAGACAAGAGTACAATCCTGCCACTACGGGATGGGATCAACGGCGAGGGCCTCGACTCAGAGGCCATCTAGCCTGATGGGAACCACGACTCCAACGATAGGGATCGTGGCCCCTCGCTCCTCAAGACAACAAGGCAACCAACGACCCGGGGGCGGCCACCAACTCCTATACAACGCCCTAGGAAACTAGGAGATGATGACGAAGACGACGGCGGAGACCACGTCATACAGGACGGCTGGCAAACTACCATCGTGCCTACAGTGTCGTTATGACCAGCACAGTAGCACCACACCACACCATGCCGCGACGTGGCCACAAGACCATGACGACAGCTACGTCCGGACGCACCTCGCAAGGCGGCGTAGCTTGCAAGCCAAGTTAGTTAGGATCCCCCTCAGGCTCACGACCCTTCGGTCGGGAGAACTTATTGCTTTGTATGCGTCCTGGCCCCGAACTCTATATAAGGGCAGCCAGGGTACCCTTTCCAGACATTCGGAGCCCCCTACTCGTTCACTCATTCTCCATCGTAGCAGGGCTCCTGTAGCTTTTCTTCGGGCTGCCCGTCACCTAGCTTAGGTTCTTCTACCTCTTTCACCATTCTTGCACCGCCATTGTAAGAACTTCAGAGCATTCAAGCGAGGAACACACACTCGATCGTTTCTGAGACTAGACGTAGGGCTCCGGCCTGAACCAGTATAAATCCTCGTGTTTTTTTATGCTTCTTTTGGATGCTACCATCGTCTTCCTATAGTAGAGCGGCAATCGTAAAGTTTACTATTCCAGTTTACGAAACACCGACACCATCCATCCACAAAAGAATGCAATGCTTGCTTTTCGATAAGTCAGATAATTTAAACTTTGACTAAATTTATAAAAAAATACTAACATTTATGATACAAAATAAGTATCTTTAGATTAGTTATAGAATATATTTTTATAATAAATTTATTTGGAGACAAAAATATTAATATTATTTACTATAAATTTGATTAAACTTGAGTTTATTTGACTGGGACTGGCACATATCATATAATTGTATTCTTTTACGGATAGAGAGAGTATACAACAAAATTTAAAAGGAAGAGTATATTTCAAGAAGCCACAACTCACAACACTGTCGGGCGCCAGTAACACACATGACAGTGACACAGCACCGCGGAATTTGACCTTCACGTCCACGGTGTGCTCAACGAGGCTGACACGGATGGCCCGCCTGCAGACCCACCCACGGGACGGGAGTATTTTACGCTACAAGCAAGGACGTGTGTACGGCCAAACACAGTTAACGCACAGAAAGCGGTTCCCGGACAAGGGATCAGTGGAAGTGGAACCCAGGCAGCAGCAACTCCGCGGGCCCGCACGTCGGTGGCCCTTCCTGGCGCCCTCGAGTAGCCACGAGCTTAAGCCATTGCCCACTGGAGTAGCATCTAATTAGTTGTTAAAAAATCGCGCGCTTGACGTCATCGCCGATGTTATCAGGTCAAAGTTGAGAGAAGCGAGGCTCTCTTTTTTCGGTTCGAGGGTGTTTGTGCTTGGGGCTGGGCGCCCGCCCCCGTGCTACGCTGCGAGCTGTCCGCGACGACTCACACGGCATGGGCGCGGGCTCACGATCGATGTCGGGCGTGTTTGGTAAGCTTGCCCCTACCCAGCCCGGCTCGCGGGGCCAGCCCGAGCACGGCTGCTATAATGCAAAGTCACGTGTTTGTTTCACATGGTCTAGGCCTCGTTTAAAATAGGGTTAGGAATCAGTATTGGGTACTGTAACATTTTCGTTTGTATTTGACAATTATTGTCCAATCATGACGTAACTAGGCTCAAAAGATTCGTCTCGTAATTTACAATCAAACTGTGTAATTAGTTATTTTTTTATCTACATTTAATACTCGATGCATGTGTCCAAAGATTTGATGTGATGGAAAGAGAGTGAAAAAACTTGCAATCTAAACAAGGCCTTAGTTCGATTCAACTGAGATTGTGTTTCATTTCTGGCACAAATGGATATGGCTATGTTAGGATTGTGTGTACTGTGTACTATTCTGATCACAGAATAGGGTAAGCATCCTCATCTTCATGCTGACGTGACCCACCTAGAGTGGGTAGACACCGATGCTAGGTCGGTGTGTAGTAGGGCTTTCGATCTAGTGGTGTGGAGAGAAGAAGATCAGGCTGACAGAGAACTGCAGAGGAAGCGGGCGGTGGTTGGGGCTCATCCTGTCATTGGCGGCACGACCTTTAGATCGGATTAGGGTTCTTGTCAGGGTGGGAATGGCGGCTCGGGTTTAGGGAACCTCGGGAGTCCCGAGCCCTCACCCCACCTTCCTTTTTTATGTGTCTTTGTGCACAGGCCCACCAACCGGATTAGGGTTGGGCCCCGATCGTGGAGCAGAGATAAGGGCCCAATAGGCTGTTGGGCCTATTGGTGGAGATCAACTAGCATTCTTCCCCTTGATCTCATTCCATCTTTCACTTTCATATCATTTACTTTTGTTCATTCCATTACAGATTAGCTCATAGAGCATGTCTCATCGTCACGGTCCATTACCGATAGACTTAACAGCTACAACTCACTACTCTGTTCTGAAATAGATACTTATCTTTGGACCTTCTTTTGTCTAGGAATATTTTAGGCTTTCCTTTAAACCCAAGTTAGCTACATGTTTTCTGAACACCATGTCCTCTGAACATGTTGGGTGGTAAGCCTTTTGTAAGCGGATCCGCGAGCATCCTTTCTGTTCTTATATGCTCAAGACTTATGACTTGATCCCGGACTTTATCTTTCACAACATAATACTCTATATCAATGTGTTTGGCAACACCACTTTGACTTATGTTGTGAGCATCCTGTACTGCCAGATTATAATTGCAGTATAACTTTAGTGGTCTATAGATGTCGTCAACCACCTTCAAACCGGATATGAACTTCGTTAGTTAGTTCACCTGCCCGTTGCCTCATAACACGCTACAAAATGTCATATATTGTGGACGATGTAGTGACAGTTTACTTTGAGCTTTTCCATGAAATAGCTCTCCTTTGCGAGATGATAGAAAATCCACGTCTGGATATGTATTCACTCTCGCATAATCAGAATCTGAATATCCCACTATGTGGAGTGAATCAGATCTTCTATATGTCATCATGAGGCCTTTTGTTCCTTGCAAATAATGCAAGACTTTCTTTACTAATTTCAGTGTTCAATTCCAGAATTGCTCTGGAATCTGCCAAGTAAAACCTGGTAACAAATGCCAAGTCAGGGCGTGTATATACTTGAGCATATTGCAAGCTTCCGACAGCTGAAGCATATGGAACCACTTTCACTTTATCAATTGAGCTCATATTGGTTCCTGGGGCATTGAAAATCCCCATATCTGTCGCCCTTAACTATAGGAGCAGGTGAGGGACTACACTTGTGCATACTGAATTTCTTTAAGATATTTTCCATCTATGCCTTTTGTGACAGTCATTATACCATTTTCTTCTATCTCGGTGAATCTCGATCCCTAGAACGAACGATGCTTCGTCAAGATCTTTCATATCAAGTTTTGGGGACAAAACTTTTTTATCTCCTATAGTAGACTGACATCACTACTAGCAAGTAAGATATCATCTACATACAGGACAAGGAAGATAAACTTCCCATTCTTAAACTTTGCATAGACACAATTGTCCTCTACATTATCTTTTAAAACCCAAAATTCTTTATTGACCGATCAAACTTCAAG